GAGAGCTTATGAAGTGCCCGTAATATTGGTTCTAGGTTTAACTTTTTCTGATTGCCCATCAAAATATTTAGTATTTGTTTGCCCATGCTATCTCATCTGTTTGTGATGGGGTTAAAGGAAGAGTTAAGGGGATGTTTTACAGCTGGAACAGAGCACAAATGCACATCAAAGAACAACTGACAGCACCCTCTTGCTTCCTTCATTTTTTGGTCTCCCAGTGTAAAAATCTCCCAAATGCACGACATTCCCAGGAATAACATGAAATTAACTTCTATGGGTCCTACTAGTCATCTATTTTGGGTGAAGCATTTAGAAGTAATTCAGGGAAAGCTGTAATCTTGTAAGTTTCCAATGCCAACTCAACACTAGTAGAGGATATGTTTCTAATCCCCTCTCTGATATGTTTTAACAAAAGCTAACTACAAATGTCGCCATGTTCAACACATTATTTTGTTATAAAATTGTTGTATATCGGCTAATCAAATGCTTATAGAAAAACTAATCAGTTCAACCAATTCACTCTCAGTATAGGCTCAAAGAAAAGTAATGTTACAAAACAATGCATGTCTTGGGGAACTACATATAGAAAGGTACTGAATTTTTTCCCGAAAATCAATACTGAATCTATTTGCTGAACACTCAAATTAGACATCTACAAAAAAGATCCCTTTCTGTGAATATGACTTGGGTGTTAATTTTTAAATCCCTTTCTCCAGTTCTTGTAGCTTGTACGCCTGCATAGATTCATTCTTCAGCAGCAGCACTGGCAGCACTTAGATCCACTGTTAGGTCAAGAGTCTGAAACATGACAACATCCAATTAAATAGTTAGAAGTTACAGGAAGCTCAATTCTAAGACTCATTAACTCAAAATGTAGTTTTAAGTTTAGCCTTAGCTAGGCATGAGGAAGAAACATGCATTGTCTATTATTATCTGACCTGTTTGGAACTTCCAAAGTAGAGTAATACTCAGCTAAGGTAAATAACATTATGCACAAGGTGAATAGTCACTGGACTCTAAACCATCTGGGTCCATTATACAAACAGTTTGCATATCATGACACTTTCTATGGCTACAGAGGCCTAATCTTCTCTATAGCAAGATAACTGCAGACAAACATCTTCCCTTTGCAGCTATAGGAACATGTCAATCCTATTACTTATGGTTATGAAATTTTCTGTGGACTTAAAATTTCCCTTAACTTCTGTTTACCTAATGATTATAGTAGACTGATGAATTCTCGGAGAATGTATAGATATATATATGGAGTAAACATTGTAGTCACATAATGAGCCTTCAACAAAGTAGCTGGCTGCACCAGTAGAATCAACATAGAATCTGGACATAGCCTTAATGTAACCACTAGTTTTGGTTGTTGTTTCTGGAACAATCAATTGAATAAAGTAATTTGGACATGTTCGAAGAAGACCTACAACTGCATCAATTAGGCGAAGCGCAGTAATACATATGGATAATAATGCGAAGGGTAGAGGTAGACTAAATGATATGATAGCTTGGAGTTGAATAGAACATACGGTCCTAGACAAAGCAAATGATGGAAAGTGATTTATATGGCTGACCTTAAATAATTGGGGCAAAGCTTGTTAAGAGTTGCGTTGAGTTTTGAAAGCAGCGAACATATAACAAAGAACAGTTTATAACTGTTCAGAGTTTCTTTCAGATGCAAATGGAAGGCTCATAAACATATAATATTAACTGCACTTTTTAGATATCAAAAATTGATGAATCCAACTTGGTTTTAAATGAGTCAATACTGATGCATATTTGAAGAAATGATGTAACTGCAATGGTTTATTACCAATATTGTTAACAACTCAATTTCTTTCTTTTATGGTAGAAGAATCCATTTTTAGTTCCATAGCAAAATTCGAAGTGCTTTTGCGTGCTAAGGATTCTTTGCATATGGTTTCCAAGTGCACCTGAGATTCTCTTTTTTTGTGCAACTCAGTGGCAAGACTATTTTTACATAACAATTGCTATCAAAACCTTCATTGTCTGAATTCCTACATCGTTGATCACTATAGTTATTCATTATTCTTGGGCCAGTGTGGAAGGATTATATATGATTCTTGGGTATGAGTGTATTCACTTTCTCTCTCACTTTCTTGCATGCATGCCATCAATTTCAATTAAATTGGGTTTGTTGTAAGTTATTGATAAATTCATCCATTTTTTAGTCACATGTGCATCTTACTATCTTTAATTCTACTTCATTCCTAATATGAATATGTTAGTTATTGGGTGCTCATTAAATTTAGTTTTCGTGATAACTAAGTTACCTTCATGTGGATGTATGAAATAGTTGAGGATAATAGAAATATGGATAAGAGTTTGATTGATTCAACAGAAAGACTTTCAAATTCGTACTTTAGAGGGGTCAAGGAATTTTTCAAGTTTGCATACACAGATCAAGCGAAAGATGCAACGATTTATTGTCCATGCAGGTTATGTTTAATCATTATTTTGTTAAACGAGAGGTTGTGAGAGAACATCTTATTATAAATGAATTTTCAAGGAAGTACAAGAATTGGACTAAACATGTGGAAGCCTATGTTTTGAGGCATTGTAACCAGGAAAATGAAACCTTAGATGATTCAAATATTGGAAATGATATAATTGGAATGATGCATGAGGCTAAATATTGTGTAGCTTAATATGTTCTAAAAATGTCGTAGGTTTTATATGCATCTAGTACTCGTAGGCCACTCGGAGAGCCACACGAAGATAGACATACACCATCTACACAGGTGCAACACGAGTTACCCACACCCTCACCATGTCCATGGTCTTTTGAAGAGGTCAATAGAAAATATCTTTGTTTTTCAATTTGTAACATATTTTTCCGCATTGACAATATGCTTGTTCTTGATCCATTTTTCATGAAAATAGGCATACACCTACTATTCGGTGATAGAAAAATGTAGAAAAATACGTGATCTCAATACGATTTCTGGCGAGAGAACTCAACTAAAAACTAGAAAACTAACTAATGTAATTTTGACATTACTATTTATACTGACTAATGTAGTATTGCCTGTTTTTTTTTTTGTAGACACGTGTTGTTAGGGCAGAAAACAGAATGAATGCACTAAGTTTGAACGATACTGAGGTAAGTGCATGTGTATGGTAAACATAGTATATGACTATGTGTGATACATAAATTTACAATTGTATTTGTTTTCGCTTCTAAAAGTTGTTAACACTTGTGGATGTAGGTTCATACAAAAATAGATTGCTTAATTCTCATTTACCAAGGCAAGTAGTGTTAGTGTGGACCCATCGAAAGAAGTAGATAGAGTACCATTAGGACCTGATTTTTCAAACGTATATGTTGAGGAAGCAATAGTGCCTAATACTTATTTGATAAGACTTTTTCCTAGTGTAATTATTGTTGGGCAGGCAGTGGAAAAAAGTGTTGCTTGGCCATCTAGTGATGTATATTTTATCTTAATTAATATGTATATAATTAGTAACTAAACATATTATTGACAATAATAACACAAATTGTATCTTTTGCAAGTATTATCAAATGAGTAGATAGCGCAGAGCGTAGATGACGCATGGGTAGAAGACCACCGGCATCGTTAGAGAGTTGATTACCACCAACGCTGTGGAAAAATAGCCCCTTCTCTCACCGGTCTTTGGTTTATGGTTGATCAAGATCCACTACCATCGAGGTGCAGACTCTTCATTTTAAGAGATTTTATAGCTTCTATTGCACATATCTGTTATCGCAAAGTAACGATTCTGTTTTTTGTTTGATTTTTGGCGTGTTTCTATATTTCAGTTTGAAATTTTTTGGTAACATTTATGACGAAATTTGTGGAGATCGGTTGGGAAAAATATTTTTATTTGATCCATGATTACTATGAGAGTTCATTACATATTACATCCTAAGAAGCATGGACACGGATACGGGACACGGATACGACACGACACGGACACGTCGATACGACATTTATCAAAAAAGTAGGACACGGATACGTTGAGGACACGCTACAAAAAAATTATGTTTTATATATAACATTATATAATTTATTGTAAATATAATGATAATAATATACAATTCATAAAAAAATCAGTATTTTATGATAAGAAAACCTAATGTCTAGTCATTTATGTGAATTTTTGGACTAAAACATCCTCATTATATTCAATAATTATCATTTTTTTTTGTAGACAATGTGTACCTAATATATAATTTAAATAATTGCTCTTATTTTCTCAATTCCTCTTTTTTTTAAATTTTATGCTTGTTTTGTTTTTATTATTATATTTGGAGTACAACTTAATATGTCTAGTATTAGTAATTATATTTTCTCAAATTATTAAGATTTTTTAATCACATTTCAACAAATGTCAATTGTTTAATAGTAAAAATGTTCTAAAGAAGTGTCGGACACGTCACCAAAGAACTGTCCGACACGTATCCGAAATTAAAAATTTATCTTTTAATTATGGACACGGATAAAAGAGTATCGAACACGTGTCCGAGAGTGTCGGTGTCCGACACAGAATTGTCACGTTCTCGAGAGTGTCCGTGCTTCATAGATTAGATCTATGAGATCTATATGATTTGTGTGGATTGCCTCTCGTGTGAATGTTGAGTAGCTGAGATAACATGTATATTGCCTGCCGCCCAGTAGATGTTTGATATATGGTGGGACCTAATTAGGTCACCTTTGGATAACATGGATATTGCGTGTAGATTTGATGTAGGAGCCTCGCGTGTACTAGGTTTAGTTCTGCGTTTAGTAATAGTTCAATTTTGTATCCAAACTAGCTGTTTATTTGTAGTTTTAGAAGTATCATGAACTATCTATAGATACTACTGTGCATGTAAACTATGAATTTGAATTTTTTTTCTTTTTTTGTTCATTGATGTGTAAGCTTCATGACAGAGTTCCTCTGAGGTTTCATCTGCTTGCTTACAGTTATTCATATTTACTAAGAAAAATGAACAGTTTAAGTTTAGGATTTCATTGATGTCGTTTAGCCAACTTAGAAAACTGATATCGAGGTGGGTTGTTGCTGATGCTGCATGGGATTATCACACGACATTGCAGACTGTATATTATGTGGAACATATTTGATAGATTTGTCTCTATCTCTCTCTGTTTATTTTTTTGGGAACTTTTAATGTTAATGCTTATATTTTTTTCATTGAGATTATTATTTGAAAGGTATGCTAATATTTGATGTGGAAACGGATTCTTATGAAGCCTACACTGTTGGAGAAACAGAGGAAGGTTACTAATCCCAACAGGGTGTTGGTTGCGAACTACAAGAGATTGCTCGAAGACTAAAAGAGATCTGTGAGGCATATTTTTAGGGAAGGAAATCAATGCGTGGATGCACTCGCTAATTTGGGGGTTAGACAGGAGGAGATGTCTATCGTGTTTAGGGCTAACTTGGCCAACGTTTCTTTTGTTAGGGAGCCTTAATGGTTTCTTTTAATTTTCTATTGTGCCAAAAAAAAAAAAAAAAGGTATGCTAATTGAAGATGAGGAGCTATAGGAGTCGGAAGACTATGTAAACCAAAATGTTTTTGCAGGGAATATTGATTTGTCAGTTACAAATCCAATGTGTAGGAGAAAAGAATGTATTATTTCAACAATTCTTAGAGACAATTAAGCATGAATATTTAATTGTATTTATTATTATTATGTACTTTTCGACTTTGGTATGTATTCAATGTCGTGTGGATAGTTGGATTATGTAACTTTTTTATTAATATGATATTTTTGTGTGCATCATTGTATGCGTAGTGTTTGTTTATATATGTGCATTTAATGATATTACAAATGTAACACCGATAAGCACTTTTACATTCAAATGTACTTTTTATAAAACATTTTAATTTAAACATCTTTAATTTTAATTACCCAAACAATACTTATTTAATGAAAGTGTTTTTCTTATAAACATTTTTTACAAACACTTGTTGAAAAAGTAATTTTTGAATTTCATAAAGTTGGTCAGAGATGAAATGTAGTGTACTTTTTGTTTCTCTTTCTTTGAGATTTTCTTGCATCCTTCTCAGCTGCTCTGAGAATTCTCTTGCTCCATACTTGACTGACATAAGGTGTCTACTCTCCTTGTTTGGCTTTTCAAAGGATTTTATTAAGTACTGACACCAAAATTTGTTACTTACTGAAGGAGAAGTATGTAATCATGAATAAGTAAATGAAAAACACTATGGAGTGAGACTCCAACCACTGAAGCAGGAAAAGATTACAGGTGCCGAGGAAGGGCATGTTCATAGTTGGTGTCTTACTCATGTATGAAGAGATTAATTTCAATTGCGAGGAGTTTGCCTACCCTAGATCACATAAAATGGAAGCGTAAAGGCGGCTAAGTTCAAAAAACTGTTAGAGCTGGTACACATTCATTCATAAAGTTAACAAAAAAATAAGATTAAATTACGTATTTAACCTTCAAACTATACCCTTTGTGTTAATTAAGTCCCTTAACTTCTTTTTTTTGAGTTTATTAAGCTCCTAAATTAACTAATTGTTTCAATCAAGCCATTCTATTTGGGTTTCTAATGGAAGGATGTGGAGTGTGTTGGTTCCGTGCCTTGTTCTGGGGCATTTTAGGTAACTCTCATTAAAGACATGAATAAATTACGTATTTGACCCTCAAATTATGACTCTTGCGTCAATTAAATCCTTGAATATTGTAGATGGTTGACCTTTCGTCTCTGAATTTCAAAGAGCAACTCTCAGAGTAAAAACCTAACCCACCACAAGAAGTTATGTGATTCTCTATTGTTCATACAATTATGGTAAGCAACAGCTCATCAATGGAATGGTTAATATGTGGTGTAGATGATGTCCAACATCCGAATCAGATGCACCGTAAGTGCTCTATTTAATTTAAGTTTTGCATTTTTTGTGTACTAGAAAATGTAAAACATTGATGAGTTGTTACAGACCGAAATTTTATGAACAACATAGACTCACAAAAGCTTCATGTGGTGGGTTAAATTTTTGATATGAAAGTTACTCTTTGAGATTCACAAACGAAAGACCAACTATCTGCAATTTTCCGGAGCTTAATTAACACAAGAATTATAATTTGGGGACCAAATATGTAATTTATTCATGTCTTTAATGGAAGTTGCCTAAAACACCCCTGAAGAAAGCACGTGATCTTTCACATCCGTCCGTTAGAAACCCTAACAAAAGGGTTTGATTGAAATAATTAAATAATTTAGGGGTTTAATTGCCATTCTATTTGGTCTCCCCGGACCTTCTTTCCTGAGCTCATTACGATAATAAAGAACTTCAAAGTGTTCTCAAGCATAATTCGCTTACCCACAATTACAGACAAATAAGAACCATAGAAGTTTTTTCAAGACAAGAGGCCAGAAAAGAAGATAGGAATTTCTTACTGAAAGTCAATTGGTACCCATTGGGTCCTTCATGGAGAAGATTTGGTGATAGTAATTCATATCGCTGATAGCCAGAGGGGTCCATGGTTAACTCAATTCTAGATAGTAAAAGCCAAAGGAATTTGGGTCGGTCAATTCCACTGGAGCTTCCAGAGATTATAAAAATAATTCCTCAGACTCCAAATACAAATTTGAATCAGGAGGATAAGGTTATATAGACACTGAAAACATCTAGATTACGTAATGCATATTTCGCATGACAAGCACTGTGAGGTCATTCATATGAGGTTTAATGGCTTCAAATTCTCTGGCATTCAGGCTTCAGCAGGTATTCTCCACCATAGTTTTATCCTTTGCAGGTAGGCTGTATAGGAATATCAGATGACTGAGGCCAAGCTTCATCAACTAGGTACAGCGGAAAACTAAATCACTGGAAAGAGCTGATGCAATTAATCCTCTTATGGTTCTGGTAACTTGGTACAACAGACCAACAAAAATCAATCAGAAAAAAAAAGGATCCGAATTCATTAGCTTCCACTAACACAACCCTTAGTTTTTTATGTATGATGTAAAACCAAATAGGACAATTTGTCCAAAAGGTGCAAAGCCTTGTGATGTCAAACATAAAACAAACAACAGACTTGAAGTGAGATTGTACTTGTTACCCAATGCTTACAAGCAAACCTCATCAATCTGATACCTGTGTTACCATTTTACTTGGAAGAAACATCATCTGTTGCAACTCTTTCAGGAGTAAAACAAAGGTACAGTTCTTTTGCTGGTTCAGCTGCAGGGGCTGAGCCCGGCCAATACTATCTATGCCACGAGCCATATAATTATACTCCACCATCCTAAAAAGCCTGTGTTTACAACTGGCTATGCAATCTGAGCAGTCATATGTGACATTAACGAATGCCCACAATCTGAGCACTAGCCAGCAACTACGACATGATGTTTACTGCATTCTTTTAGGGTCATGAGTGGCTTTCATGCAGCATTCTGTATAACTGAGATGACAATAAATAATCAAATATATGCTCTTTAAATACAAAGCCGAAGATAGCACAATGTGAATTTTGTATTTGTCTCATACAAGTTTCTATGCCTTCTAAACACATTTCATGTCCCCGCAGTATGCAATTTTGCACAACTGCAGAAACCGTAGGCTTAAATTCCAACAATACCAGAATGTTTAAGAATCAGAATCTAGAGGCACCACAGACAATAGAAACTGGAAATACTACTCAAATTAATGAGGAAAATAATTTTACAAGGTCTAGCAGCAATACCAACAAAATGCAAACCATTTAGACAACCTTTACAAAAATACTCAACAGGAATTTAAAGTAGAGGCAGTGCAATATATATACTCAAAAACAAGGCGTGAAATATAATTTTGCAATTAGGTAATTGTCCAGTATATGTATTTCCATTGCAAGCTAACTGAATTAAATTGTACATTGATATGGTTTCATTCGATTGCTACAACCGCTTTCTCTAATCAAGTCATAGGAATCAACTGCCAAATTAAGACACAATTCCCCATTTTGCTAAGTAATATGGCACAGCATCATCATGGCTTATTGCAAGCTGAACTTCAATCCGTTCTTAACTATCCATGCTAACAAAAGAAATTGAGGAAAAAGTTAAAAAAAAAAAAAAGGTTAACAAAACATAAATACCTTATCATTGTCTGCAGGACAGAACATGAAATAAGCAGAGCCGCAGCCATCAATCCTAATTCCTTAAAACCATAAAAACATAACAACAACAACAGATAAGCATCACATTCACCACTGCCATGGCCACCAGCCAAACAATTAAAGTACGGATCTTCCATGCAAGAAACAGAAACAGACTCACTGACTTAGACATTAAGACAAAGAACTAACTCAAATCTTATTCTGACTAAACCATTGACAGACCATAACTCAATGAACTGACCCAGACAGAAGATCTAAGACACACAAAAGCTAACTAATTCGCCATAACATCACAAGGACAAAACACAATCAGAAAAAGATAAGAGAGTGATTGAAAATTACTGAATTTGATCGATCCAAAAGTCAATTTTCTAATAATCACAAGTCTACTCCATACTGTCCACCTTGTTGCTGCTGTCACTGTTGCTGCTGTCCTTGGAACCCGTGATTTCGCGTCGCTGATGAACTATGGTGGAGAAATTTACCGAAAGATCCGAATAGAGACCCATGACCTTGGAAACATTACCGTTAATCTCCCGAATCAAGGCGACATTTTTCACCAAATTATCAGGAATTCTGGACTGGTGATTCTCATTAACCTGTTGAATCAAAGCTCGATTCTGATCCAAAACCGATTGGACCTCCCGGAAACTCTTGCTCAGCGTCTCCCAAACCTCCGCGTCGCATTCTTCGTCGCCGTCGTCTTCTTCGTTTCCGTTCTTCCCGTCTCCGTCGAAGCGGTTCGTGTAGTCGTTTTTCGCTTTGGTTTTGGTGGTGGTGGTGGTGTGGTTTGGCGGTTGCGTCAGGGTTTGTGAGGTGTCCTCCATGCTCGAGTCCACCGCAGACGATGACTCAAGTGTTGTCATACATATATATTTGCTTTTGTATAATCCTCTCTCTCTCTCTCTATCTTATATTTTTGGAGAGAGAAAAAAAATGAGGGCGACAGAGAGAGAGAGAGGAACCAACCGACTCGCGAAGGCGGTTTTTTATTTTATTTTTTTATTATTAATTTTCTTTTAATATTTTGTTATTTTTGAAGGCTAGAGTGAAAACTTCTGTGACGAAGAAGACGAATGCCCAATCATAGTAAGCCACTGCAGAGTGCAACCTTGGCTAACGTTGATGATAAGCGTGAACAGTGGATCAGTTTGTCACTACACTGTGAGAGTAACGGGCTATTGGCTAAGATATTTCTGGATTCTATTTTTTAATAAATATCTTAGCTGAGGTCTTTAAGGATCCAAATAGACTCTGCCGTTGGACGCGATTGTTTTTGGAAATAAAATATTGACAAAATATCTTACACGAACCTTGGAGAGAAACGTGTAGGGCATATGATACTACACGACAAAGACAAAAGGGTGTAAGTACATTATGAGGCAATTACTTATTAAAAGTGTCAAAATGATAATTTTTTAAAATTGAAAGTGGTAATGATAAATGATTAAAAATTCAAAATTAAAATAATTTTAAAAAATGATAGTAGTAGTTTCATAGGACACATAGGCTAATAAGATTGGAAGGAACTAATTAAAATGTATCAGAACTCTAGTAATTAGGCATTTGAGGAGGTAATTTTTCTTAAGAACTCATTGTTAAAACTGACAATCTTACGAATTGTTGAAGGCACGTATAATCGAATACAAAAATAAAAATAAAAATAAAAAATTCATTTGTTAATCCTATAAAGCGAAATTAGAATTTACATCTTGAAGTGTGTATAGTACGAACAAATATTGGTGCAGATCAAATAGTCGGCTCGATGAAATTAATGATCTTCTATTGTACGTACTTCTTGTTGCTAAAATCTGAATGCGTATACTTTAATCCTCTGAATTTTTTTCCTTGCTCTCTACCTCTTCTAAATATAAAGGTAAAAGTTATGGCTAAGAGAACAAGTAAGGACGTTTATTTATAGGCTACAAAAAAACTCCTAAGGAGAAATAAGAGTTAGATTTCTAATGGGTCTAAGAATTCTTTGTCCAACTTAGAACTCCATTAATAATAAATTGGGTTAATTGCATTAGAGGTCCTTAAAATATAGAGTTTGTCTCATTTTGGTCCCCAATGTTTCAATTACATTATTTTAATCCTTGAAAAATTAAATATATTTCTATATAGTTTCTCAAGCAGATAATGTTTAGATTACAAACGATTTTTTTATCATAAACTTGTCATGTGATACTTAAATATGGACAAAAAAAATAATTTAAATAAGTTTTGACCAAATTTTTACTCAAATTTTGGTTACATAACTATCTAAATTACACAATTTTGATCATAAAATATTCAAATTTTGGTCAAAACTATTCATATTACACATTTTTTTTGTCAATAGCTACCCAAGATTTGTTTAAGATCTATCAAATTTTTTTTTTTTTCATATTTAGATATTACGTGACCAATTTATGATAAAAAATCGTTAGCAATTTGACATTGTCTGCTTGAAAGACTATATAAGAATATATTCAATACTTCAGGGAGTACAATGATGCAATTGAAATATTGAGACTACAATGAGACAAACCTCATACTTTGTGGACCTCTAGTGCAACGCTAATAAATTAGTCATTAAAAACTTTTTATTGATGTCACATGTCTTATCTCAAAATTATATTTTAAGCTCTTTGTTGTTATATGCTTAATAATATCCCCGTTTAAAATTACAAATGTTCGTCAATTAATTAAATTACAGACAGTTATATTTAATTGACTTTTTTTTTATCTTTGAGATCTTACCACGTAACTTATTTGTTATTTCGGATAATTAAATCCACATGTAAGGGTTTGATATTGACAAAATTTATGAGATTCCTCAAGAGGATATCATCAACCTATTTAAATATCGGGACGTGATTTCTTTTAATAATTAATTTCTACCATGGAAATAATGTCATCTCTTAATTCATTGAATTTGTTGACTCAATTATGAATCTCACTTGTTGATTAATTAAAGTAACAATCATTATATACACATGTCAATTAACTATCTCAAGATTAAGAGTTTAAACAACTAATAATGATCATGAGGTATTTATTTCTTATTTACTCAGTAAAAAGATATTAATATCAATAACGGTCTTATTTAATACACAAAGTGTACTAGTGCAATAATATGAGACATTGAACAATCTCGTATTGCCAAAGTAGACTATGCTAGAAGATTGCACTATAATCCTACTAATGATGTGTCCAATTCTATCTAAAATTGTGAACATTTACTCATATCATACAAGGATTTGATAATTTGATTTTTTATGTATAAGCCGAACTCTACACACCAAATTATTTACAATGTAAATGTAAGATCCAAACCAGTATTCTACGTTATTTATATAAAGTTGTGGGCATAAGTGTAATTATTTTAATAATAGGGTTAGATTACAATTAATGAAACTGTGAAAAAATAATGTATGAGTTATATTAATATACTAGTAATACCCGTGCCTAAAAATACTATATAACAAAAAAAAAGATCATCTATTTGAAACATTTCTCATTACTTTGCTTTAATTAAAAAAGTTGAAATTAATTTGGGATTCGCTAATTTTTCAAAAATTCTGAAAGAATTTCTTGTAAAAATAGGATCTCAGATAAATGTCAACCTGCCACAAAATTTATATATCGCATAATCATACACAAACCAATCATAGGACTCACCATAGTTCTATCTAAACACAACTATCTATAAACTACCACAACATCATAGTGAAATATTTTTATTGAAAATAGTACCCTAGAATTTCGATGCTAGTAATTTGGTATATGCATGTTTAAAGAAAATACTGCTCAAATTAATTACTGCACTCACCGTCACACCGTATTCCTGTCTTAAGACAACCATTTACCAATTATAAATTGAAGCAATAAAAAAATCTGATGTACTAACTACGAAATTATAAATATTAACTCTTTAAACATGAAATTCACAAACTATACAAAGAAG